GAATAAACACGCCAATGCCGAATAGAAAACAACGTTTTTATAGCATCTTGCAAAACTTGAACACTAAATCACCAAATCATTTTTCGTGTTTAAGAAATCTATACTCGTCCTGGTGTACCTGTTCTCTGGCTTCTGGAATTCCATGGGCGCGCACACATGTGTAAACCTCTAGGAATATCAGATCAAGTCCTAAACAGTTTACGCATTGTAGTACTTGTAGAATTTGTAGTACAGACAACACGAGATACGAATAACGGACGTCACGTAAACACTGGACCACACTGGCACTTGCACGCAATATCGCACGTAACTGAGACGCGAGGGAAAGGCCACACGAGTAGTAGTTCATTTATTGGAAGAAATAAGAGGGATTAAATATCATGTACCAAACAAACTCATTGGTCATCCAGGCGTCTGCCAATCGGGTTCTAGTATTTCTGGCGTTGTTCAGCTTCTGTCTGGCCCGCACGGTTCCTGATTGGCTGATAGAATCAACCTATGATAAGTAATCCAGAAGCTGTGGCACGCACGCGCTTTGCTGATCGCAGTTGTCCGAAAACTGTACTGATTACGTAATTAGATGTCGGCTGGATGAATGATATGTTAATTGTTTCAACATTAGGTAAAGATTCGTCTCCCGGGAACGGGGCTCAGCACGACGCTAATGTTCTCCGTGATGGAAATGGAGGCATTTGGAATGTTGTTCACTGGAACTCAACCCACACACTTGTAAAGCACATGATTTGAATCGGGAATTCTCAACAAAATACAAGACAAACTCCAATTGAGCCAGATGATATTTGGAGTCAGGTTATCAACTTTTCATGAACAATTTTCATTTTAGAATCTCTTCAGTCGAATCGCATAACTGTGCTTTCTGTTCTGTTCAAGCACGTTCTCGTATTTGGGCACCTATTGTGGTAGCGCAGTGGTTCAGTCACTGTCATCGGCACACCTTGGACCGTATGATTCGAGGTTCGATACCCGTCACTTTTGGTGGTAGGCAGCTTTATTGGCGTTCGGATCAGTACCCTCTTCTAACCTATCGGAGCCTTATATGGTTCACCACTCCAAGTCCCACGGGATTTAGGTTACCAGTTTCCATCACTGAAAAAATCAACCAGGTCCTTGTGACCTGTTCATTGAAACAAAAAAAGTTGAATGATGATCACTATCCGAATTTGTTTCAAATCAATTCACAGAATGACTTCCCCTTCTTGTTATCCGTAATCTGTTTGAATTTTTTGGGGATTAATTGGTAGTATACTGAAACTTCGAGTGAATTGGTTCCTATTCACGTTTGATATCGCCGCGTTTTGGTTTCTCTTCCACCCGCTCCGGCGCACCGTTGGTCACATTGAAAACCCAACCAATCCATACAATTTAGCGTTCGTAATATCGACCGGATTGTGCTGAGAAACAATTCATACAATTGGATTACAAGCAGTCTTTTTCGCCTGAGAGATATCACTCCGATTGTGAGTTGTCTTTGAAAATTCAGTTGCTTTGGTCTGGGAAACCTGGCAATATTCCGTTCCCAAGCAAATCACGGAACATAGAGGGTGAATGTTTTTTTCTTTTAATAAAGATTATTGTACATCTGATTTGTTTGATACACAGTCTGGACTCAGACGTGCATGGAATATAATACAACAACAATAATACCATCACTGGGCCCGACAGAAACACAATTCATTATCTGTTAACTTCTTTCGAAAGGCTCCCACCACATCAGTCCTTCCAAGCCGGTCCGGACAATCTTGCCATAGATTTACATTTAACTCACTGTTCTCACAGATGAGATCTAACAAGATCGAAACTAGAGAGAGACAGAGTAGTGATTTCTGATTCTACAAGGGAATGAATGAACTGAGGATTGTGTGTGGAGATCACGTTTGGAGGATGGACAGTGAAAATCAACCACTTTCGTTGCCTGTATCAGAAATGACCGATCACTAGAACCCCCTATGCTTAACCCTCTCTTTCTCTCTCGCTCCGAGCGAACAGATGACGATAGCAGGAACTGTACCACTAGTGGGTGCTCAACATGTAAACCTGTGCGGATAGGCTGACTAGGTGTGGGTTTTGAACCTTGTGCTGCCCTCATCCGCGAACGAATTCATTCAGCTAAACAGACATCGACCCGTCATAATTGACCGCACGTATGCCAGCGCGTGTAATGCGATAATCGATCGAGGAGAATCATATCACATCTGTTGTAACTATGTATGCTACAGTCTAAGTGAAAATTTGGCCACTTGAATGAAGGTTAATCAATCGGTGCCGTGTACGTGTGTGATTGTTGAAACTACTATCGCGAGCAATGAACGTCACGTGACCTTGGTGTCTCATAAGAACCGGAGTGCGGGAACGTGGTGCTAGACAAAAACGCAGTCTAAAATATACGTAAAAGTATATTCATTCTTCTGAATATGTGCGTGCGTGTGAGAGTGAAGAATCTCTGTGTGTGTTTGTATGTAACTGTGTAAAATGAAAACACATAGAAAAAAAGAAGAGCACAAACGCTACAAATTTAAGGTACAGAAAAAAAGAAACGGAAAATAAGGACGAAACCAATCAACACACATGATGTGGAAGAAGAAGGAAAGAGCAGTGACCCAAAGACAGTAGTGAATTGGTTGATGTGTTGGTGACTGCTTGTCTCAACGGCCTCGGTGTGAGTGTGTGTGTGTGTGTGTGTGTATATATCCATGTCAATTCAAAGTCTTTCTAATCTATGCGCATGTGTGTGTGTCCAACGAAGCGAGTGTAAACAGACCGCTGACTAACAGACCGAAAAAGGAAGAATATTATGAATGCGAACGACACAAGGACAGGAAGAGGGACAGAGAGATAAAGAGACCGAAGCTGAGACCAAGAAGCAACAATTGAGACCGGACAGATTGGTCGATACGAACGGAGAAGACAAACAGTGTGACGTAGATCAGTACGGGGCAGTGTCGGAACTGATACATCACTTGTGAACAGTTAAAGCAATCCGAGGGGAGGGTGCGGGAATAAACGAAACACGGACAGTCAGACTGGCGCTAATGTCACAGACCGGGGTTTCGAATTTGAACGACATGCAGAGATCGGCGTGGGAGGTGGGGACAGGAGGAGAAACGAAAATGAACCACTAAAAGCGTTCGTCATTCCATTCGACTCTTGTCCCCGAAAACCACCCCGGCGAACCTCATTTAGTCCCAGCTACCGGATGATATTATACATATATATATATATATATATATTTTTCTTTCAGCCAAACAAGAAACATGAATTTGGTCAACACCTGGACCGACAGAGGAAAATTTGGGCAAGAACAGAAACTGGCTCTGGGATAAACTGCATGTGTGCATTCTCGTATTTCACTTTTTGGGATAAGTAGTCTGTCTATCGACCGACCGATCGATCGATGGGAATAAATCGACCGAAACTGTCTAGTCTGAATATGCAAAGACAAGAAGGTTCAGAAAAAAGAAAATGAAAAGAAACAGGATAATGTACGGAAGAATAGGGTCCCCCAATCGAATTGGCGCTACGTGGTATCTCCAACACAAACACTAATCACTACGGCAATCGGCTCCCTAGAACCGGGTTCAGAAATGAAAGGACTGTTGGGCGAATGACAGTGGAAAAGCAATCTTCCCACTTGTGTGCGTGTGTGTTGTATGTATGTTTGCTCAGTCAGTCTGCACAAACTGAGAATGATTTGCTGTGTATGTGTCTTGGACACACAAATAACTGATCCACCACCTTTTTCCGGCTGGTACAGATCATATACGCAGTGCGGAAGGTGGAAGCGGAATGAATTCGGACCGGGGTCAATTCCCGGTCGAACTGGATCCGGATTCGGGCAAATCGTTTGCCTCAGACACGCATGAAAGGACCGGAGAGATGAGACGCATTGTTTTGAAATCAAATGCACAATTGTGATCTTCCGGATGATAGTGTTTCTGACAGAACCATTGTTCGCACCTGTTGGAGTGTGAGTGGCGCGGGACGGGGAGGAGGGATAAAACAAGAATCCGTAAACTTTTTTTTATTATTGTCATCATCATTCAATCCCCCCATGCATTAGAGAAAACCCGAATTAGGCTATCGATGAGAACGGACAGAGATTGACGGGTTGCACAATTTCAAAACGATACTGTGATTTGAAAGGAATGAAAACTGAGAAGCAGATCGATTTGTCAGCAAGTACGCGTGTTACGCAACAGCAGGACAGCAGCAGTTTATGGTGAGGCTGCAGAGAGGCATGGAACGATGACCACCACTACCACAAGAAGAAAATACCGGTCCTCAAGCACAAATTTCACATGGCCGGGGAATTACACAGATTCGCTGACCGGAATTTCAAAAATAGTGACCGGAAAATGGATCACTAATGGTCTCCTAGAAACCCAACCCAACGCGCATAAGGGGTGGTTTGTCCCTATCGTTAGGCTTGTTAAAAAATGATAACAGTTCGGCGAAAGAGCTAATTGGTTACTCACACTACTGAGAAAATCAAAATTTTCCGTTAGAATATGCGATAGTAAAATTGAAGATCGTAGTTTGGACCAATTTTTTTCCTATTCTAATCACTAGTCTTTTAGAGAATCAAACTTAGCATTCATAGGGTAGGCGTTCTATCTACTAGAAAACCAGGAGCTCAGACGCGCGTCTCAGCATTTTCCACATCGGACTATCCAAATAACCTAGAGGACACGATGAAATCCACTAAAAAACTCACACAAGTTTGCTATTTGCGGAGGCATTCGTTCATGATCGACTGAACATTTCAGGCTAAGAAGTTGATGTATTGAACGCGTTTAGCAGATTCAATGAGCCGTTTTCTGGTCTATCGTCCGCAAGGGGTTTTAAAGGATGTGAGATTAGCTTATTAGCAATTATTATTAGTAGTATTGTGGGATCATTAGTTACGTACCGACAACTGAATCCCTGTGCTGGTCGAGTCCGTTTCTGACAAGAGTGGCATCGAGTTTGCTCGGTGGAACAATTCCGGGACCGGGTAACTGGGACGAGTGTACTGGATGAGGATAGCGAGTCCATCGCTGAGGATGACGGTGATATGGATGTCACTTTGGTCTCGGGGGTATGTGTCCGGTTGGAATGTAGTGTAGTTGTTGGGGAACTGGATTTCCGCGTTGCGGAAACGGACAGTTTTGAATGAACAAGCGGAGGAGGAGGACAGACAGTTGTGGTTGGAGTGGCGATGGGAGCAGCAAAACCACACTGATCATCCGGACTGTGAAAAACGAGAATGGCCGGGGCGAGGCGGGGGAGAGGTGAATGAAAATCGAACGGAATGGGAGTGATAATTCGATTTCGATTTCAGAATAATACACATTCCTATTCTGTGTCATGATTCACGGTGACTACGACCACATTAAAGGAAAATTACTAACATTATCGGGAAGCTCTTTCGTATAAACTGTTCTATTCTGGGTAAGAAATCACCAAGACTGTCCAACTCAAAAGGAGCTACCGTGTACAAGCAGCAAAAAATTGCTAAGATGGATTGCACCAGTACACGAATCTCAAGATTAAATACTACGGTCGCTCAGCGGTAGCAAGACATCGAACCATATGTAATTAGCTGCAAGTCACTAGGAACGGAAGAAATCAGATCGACAGTCAGTAGACTAAAAAAGGATAAGGCCTCGAGGAAGACGGTATACGATCGGAGATATTAAAATCCTGCACACCAGTATTGAAATATCTCACTGAATACGAGATTCAACGCGATTTGGGAAACGGACACCTTCACCCAACATTGGGCTATCTCTATCCTGCTGCCTATCCCGCAAAAAGAGTACAACACCGAGTACGAGAACTGATGAAGTTCTGCCCGATCGACATAACTGCCAAACTGCTCACAACGATTCTATTTTATCGTTTCACGGCAGCAAGAGGCGCTCGCGCCCGCACAAGCCAGGTACACGTCGTCATCGTCACCAGTGAACCATGGGCAGATAAAAAGAAGTCGGCCTGCAATGAAATGGGATTTTACCGAGCTACCGACCGTTCTGCTCTGAACTCCAGTATCCAGATTTAGGGCCCAATATCTCCCTAGACTGGATTTTTTTCGGCCACTGGTGTTAACGCTACATTCGGAAGACAAAGGGGTACAATGAATTATTCAATAAGGAAGTATACCGAGGCTCCTGTTATATCAAAATGCTCCTTACATTGTCATAACACCGTCGGCTGTATTGGTTCGGCCATGCTCTTCTTCGCACCTCTCTTTCCGACATCGACATTTTGGTAGTTAGTTAACTGGAGAAATGGGTCAGAACAGCCAAAGAAGATATGTAACAATTGGGTCTGGAAGTTGGAATCAGAAGTGGATTTCGCTTTGAAAGCGGAAAACAGTTCACCGAACGATTCAAACGAATAGACACCTCGCACTAACGATCCTGTCTGTTTGACTAACCTGTAGTTGTTGTACCATTTTCGGACGCATTTCTTGTAACTATTCATCTATTGACCAAGAATAATGATTTCAACCGTCAAATTTGAGGACTGGTTCAATAAGGTTAAGTTGCTCAAGACAGAAAGCGCTTTTTATACATAGACTGATCTCCTTCATTCTACTCGGTTTCTTAAATGCGAAAACCAAAGCAATAAAACAAATCACTAGATCCACATTGTGATTAGGGCTTTTCGGTGGTAAGGCGTGGTGCGATATAAAAATGTGATTACACACTCACCTCGAATGGAACTTCACATTGGAAGAAACTGGGTCTGTGCTAGTCGTGTGATTATTACTGACACCGAAATGTCTAAATGACAACAGTGCAAATGGAGGTATGATCACACCGGGCATATGAGCGGTGTTCACTGCAGTCGATTCAGTGTCCCCCGCGGCAGATGTGATCGATGGGATGAGCGCATCCGTACTCGAATCGGGCCAGCCCAGATTCGAGAGGAAACTAGCTAGTTGAGCTGGAGATATATGTGTGGGCAGTGCAAGTGCCAT